TTAGGTTTGGATTCTGCTTGGGTCAGAACCGGGATGGGCAGGCAAGCGTTGACAGTTTCCGACAAGAGAAAGGGACAAATTCCACTCTAGTTGTTGGATGGATTAACTGCTACTCTCTTGTCCGCATCATTTTGGCCTTGCATTTTCCTGACCAGTAATTTCCCATTTCGCACTCGATTGATAATGAGCTGTCCTGTCGACCAATGATCACGCCGCTACACTATGACTTGTCTCTGATTGGCCAAAACCCTTGGTTCCAGTCTGCCTTCTTCCGCAGGTCTACTAGGCACACCCGGAGGCCAAATGTCCACTCCTCCGCCAGAATCCGGAATATTAAATTCGTCTCAGTCCCATCCTTGCTTCATGCTGACAAGTCATCAGGACATAATAGAGTCTTAGCAGTTCGCTTCTGCTGGCCACAGGGCCGTCTGGAACTACATGTAACTCTACCGGGCGTCGTTCTGTGCTGTGCGTGAATACCATGTGCTTCTGTTTTCCTGCGCCCAGTGTGACGGAAAACCTTCCTCTAGCCGTCCCTCATCCTTGCTCTTTGAGCCTCCACGTTGTATTCGGCAATTTCCACCCGATCTCGACCTAACGGAATCCTATTTGTGTCACATCTGGCGCTTCGGTATACCTTGGCAACCGGCAAAGTTTATTCGTCGGCATCGCGACCGATCGAAGAAACATGCGTCCTTCTAGGCCGGTTTCCAAGACCTGTAAAACGCCCTGGAATCGGAGTAGTCCCAGACGCCAAAAGTCCAACTAGGCTGGCTGAGTTGCCGAGGCCCGGACTAGGGTAGGACAGAACCGGTAGAGGTTGGCCGGTCCGAGCCCGGAGGCGGCGTGGGACAAGATGGTGTCGTCGGGGCATTCACTATGACCGTCTCGCAAAAGGGTCTGGTCGCACCGCAAAACACATTCCTCGAGTCGATCAGCAGAAGATACAGCACCCAACGTGAGCTTCTTGCCTTCAGTGTTCATAGTGAATTATTAAAACAGCCCTACGCATGCATACGCCAGAGACTGTCTATTCACGCTTCTCCGTTCCAGGACTGGATGTCCCTTCAAGATTGATAGATGAAGCCCGATAGCCAAACTCCATCATGATGAACGATACCCAGTTTAACCAGCTCTACTGTCAGCATCTCTTAAAAACATATAATAGGAAAAGAATTATGATACACCCCTGTTTCCTAGTTGGTTTCTATGGACGGACAAATGGCGTTCAACCCCTTCCTCAACAATACTAATGGATATTTACAGATAGATAAATATTAATAAACCACCCTGATATAGGGTGCAGAAGGAAAGTCTAAACATGAGGGAATAAGTGCTAATAAATATTTGAATAGGGAACCGTGGATGAAGATCGAGAGGTGAACAAACAATTTGCCTTGGTTAGATGGATAGATGGACCGAAAGACATAGAAACGTTAGATCCAGCTAAACAGGGTGGGAGAGGGTATCTGCTTCAGGTTAATCCATCCGTGTATTGCAAAGTTAGGGTTTAAATAATAAATAACCATTCTACTTCCTTTGTCAGGTAGTAGAGTGAACCTTTGAAGTTATTTGAGGGCTGGCGCCCACCTGATTGTAATAGTATCTCTATTAACAATTCAAGGTCGTATGTAAAGAGGCACAAGTCTCTGTTACCTTTACTATGAACCAGTAAGAAACAATATTCAAAGCATTTAGTCAGAATAGCCCAAGTCTATTAACTGAAAAGTCGTTGATCTTTGCTTCCACTAGTTAGGGTTATCCTCTCGT